GAAAAAAAACAAGAAAAAAAAAAAGAAACAAGAAGTCTAGACTGCGGGGAAGTGGAATATGAAAATAAGGCTTAAGGCATCAGTTCCATATTTTTCAAAGCCAAATATGTAATGTTGAGAAGAGAAGAAATAATTGAAAGGTTCAAATCTTGTAATTTAATATTGTTATTAAAACTTCGCTGTATATCCTATTCTTTAACATTTGGTGTTAATATAAAATTACTTGGCAATGCTCGACATTTGAAATAAACTTTTTTCTATGGTTTTATTTGCAAGTGTTCCATTAATTTTACTAGCTACAGTTGGGTTATAAAGAGTCTGAAATCTAAAAGGACACTGTCAAGGTTGGGTCAACGTTTTAGTTTTTGGCAGTGTCGCCACCCCCAGCTCACTTGAATCTGTTCAACAGTTTTTTCTACAGACGAGCCCAAGCTGTGATGCTCAGATATGCATTTTGAACTCTGAAGATCAAGGTTGTTCTGGGTTGGAGTGGTACTTGATACCAGCACATGAGGAGTCAGATAGGTGCTGATTTAGAGCTCCTCTTAACTCTGACGTGCAGGGACTTACGCTCCAAAGATTTGGTTCATATCTATCTCTACTTTTGTACAATTGCATTCATAAATACATGTACAGAGAGAGACTATAGGTAAAAATCAATACATGGCAAGCAGAAAATAGTGTTAAATATTTTTTTAAAGTATGAAACAAATGCAGTTCTCAAATTGCTCCTTTAAAGGAAGCAGTTTTCAAACTGTTAAAAGGTAATTCTAAGGCAGTAGTTAGTAAAGTTCTTTGTTACGAAAAAAACCCAAAACCTTGGCAATGTCTTTTTGAATTAAGATTAAGAAATCTTTTTGAATTAAGGTTTGATTAACTCGAATTAGATCTAAGTCTGTACTGATGAAAATATAAAAACTTTCCTGAATCTTAATCATTATGAATATTCTTTGCTATCTGAAGTTACCATACGTTTTAATTATGTGTATTTAAAAATGATAACTCTACTTACAAAGCAAAAAGGAATCCTAGGAGGGGTGCAATAACATTAATTTAAATGCTAATGCAAATCAAAGCAACATCATGTTTCTTTAGCTTTCCCTGTAGATAAAATTCTGTACATTTGGTTGAAAAGCTTACATTTTTCTGCATTGTGGATACATTGCCTCATGCAGTATCAGTAAATCTCTATTTTATTTTGGACTTAAATAAAATTTGAAATATGACTTGCAGTTTTAGTTGGAATCAATTTCTTAGGCCTAAGTAAAATGTTTACTGAACATTGGAGAAGACAGAGCATTTATCAGAAACTCAAAATCCCTTCTTGTTGTACAAGCTCTGAGCCTATTTCTGCAAGCATGTGGACACAGTGTATATTCTCAGTGCAGCCAGCAAAAGAGGTATATGCAGTGTTTTCAATGTCAAACTTACAGTAACTTCCCCCTAATTAAACTAAACCATTTCTTGACGCATCTGTAATCCATAGGTGTTCTGTGCATTACTCCTCATCAGGAATGCTGGGGGATGCATTCTGATTTTTAATGTTCAATGCTAGAATGACCAAACTAAAATAATATTCATATGGTAATCTAAACTTTTTGAAAAGGTAGAATTGCATTACTGTATACAGTGGAAAGCTATTTATTGTACCTCTGGGCTTATTCCTCTAAAAATTGTAGCGTAAAAAAAAAATCTTTGTCAAGCCTGAACTGATGTATATAACTGAAATAATGTAAAGTTATATTTTCATGTTTTTATACTTAACAACATGATGGGAATACATAATGTATGAGTATTTCAATTACAGATAATATTGATTGGATAATACACATCTCAGTTAAAAAGCAGTAATCATAGTTTAATATCCATGTTACAGTACATCAGTATATTGCTATATAAAGTATGTCTGTGTGCATTTAAGTGAAAAGTAGTCAAGAGTGATGAAAGCTGTCCAAGGGTTTTTTTATTCATTTTATATGAAAACTGTTATGGAGCAACCAAAATGTTTATGAACTCAAACTTGTGTAAATTTCAAAATGTCCTTTTACTGTAGCTTTTTGTTTACAGTACAGTATCTTATTTTCTGCTTTGTTAAATGAGTAACGGTACAAAGCTGGACATACACTTTCTAAGACATTAACGTTCCCGTTTTTTCATGTATACCTATATGACAGAAAATGCTTCTGATTTTATTTTTCAATCTAACACATGATGGCTTTTCTGGAGTGTTGTATAAACTTCAATCATACATAAAAAATCTTCTTAAAAAAGGCAAAAGACCTTTAGTCTGTTTAGTATTATTGAAATCTGGTTTCTTATTTATTATAAATGTATTTTCCTAAGATTTTACATAGAGCAAACCTGTTTGTCCCCACAGACATGAAATTTCCTTGAAAGGTTTTACAAGGAGAACATAAATCTTCCCCCAAACCATCTTGTCACTCAAGGGTAGATTTACTGTAGTTTGCATTATCGCTAAACGAAGTAATGTGACTTTCTTGCCAACAATATAATTGTATTTCTGGAATGTAACCTTCTTGATCATGGTTATAATGGCAGTGTGATAGGATGATAATGCTAGCAGTTTAAGTATCTATTCAGTAACTCTACTTAAAAATTGTCAGCTTGAATCAGTATTTTTCTACTTCAACAGATTGTTGATTTGTCCAAAGCAGAGAAAGAACCTGAGAAGTGGGAAGTATTTTAGCTATATATTAGTAGTGTTGCTACTAGAGATCTAGTACAACAAAGAGTTCGCTGTAATAGCAAACAAATTGAGTCTGAAGAGGTTTGCAATGTGAAGCGTTTAACGTTTTTATTTAAATGTATTACACATATTAACAGAGTGTGTTTCCAGGGTGCCAGCCTCCTCTTTGGCTGATAGATGTAGTCAGTAACTTTACACGAAGTACCGTGCACAAATAATTGTATTTTAAAATACAAATATATGATTTCAACTATCATTTGGTACAGTTAGTTATATGAATACAGTGGTCACCAGCAAAGTAGAATCAGCAGCAGCTGTTCTGCATAATATCCCTAGGGGCTACTCAGACCTGTTTCACAGTACCAAAGTTTATTGTTTATTAAATCTTTTCATTTAAGCTGTCATGGGATCACAAAAATTTGCTGTTGAGATATCTGTCAGGTCCAAATTATCTTAGGAGGTCTTATTATATCAAGCACTTTTAGAATAAAATTCAGCAAATGACTTAGCTGTGGACTTAACTTTGGACATTTTCCCTAGCATCAGTTTTTGTAGATAATAGAGAGCACTATATACCTGTGTGAGACATAATAGAATTAGGGAATTGTATACAGTAATGGTACCTATGTGACAAATTTCATCAATCTATGCCTACTGTTGGTCTTCCTGAAATTTCTGCTCATACTACTCCTAATACTCTAAACTTTGGGGCTGCTTCAAATAGATCAATGGTAAAATTGCCCTAAAATTGCTCTTTTTTCTGTCTTGAATGCTATCTTTCCTCTCTCCCCAAAGAAGTAGTTTGATAAGCATATCTACATCTAATATCTGGGGACCTACGGGAAGTGATAACAACTTCATAACAAAGAGTCTGAATTAATTCCTTCTTGCATTTAGTAGGTGTCAACTCCTTGTATCCTAAAGTAACTGTAATATTTGTAATGCATCTTTTTTTTAGAGATTTCCTTAAAGTAGTGAATATCACTTTGATGATCAAAACTTCAGTTAATTTACTGCTTTAACATAAAATTTATTGAATTGATATTCTTTGAAAAAAAGAAGTTTTAAAATACGATTTTTGTAAACAAGTGGCAAAAAAATAGAACATAGCAAGATACAATACAAAAATGCCGAGAATTACAGATCTAACTCACCTGCAGCTTTTATGTGTCATGAGGCCTTCCACAGTCCCTAATCTTATCATTAGGGCATATTACATGATGCACTTTCTTTCTTTCCCTCTTGCCCCACCACATGCAGTTAGTCCTAATACATACTTTTTAGCTTGGTAGGCAGATAGGAAATATAATTACCGTATATAATACTTATGATAATTTTAAAAAAATTGATTTGGCAGTCATCAAAAATGTTTATTATAGCTCATTGCATATGTCTCTATTAAAGAAGCAGTGATGATAAAGGTGGGAAAGAAATCTCAGGTCATCTAAGCTAAACCCTTAATTCAAGTGGCATCGTCCAGTGCACTGTTCTTCTATCAGTCTCCTTTGTACATCTTTTATGGGTAATGAAAATTTGGCTACCTCTGTAGACAGCTCAGTGCTTTACTTACCTCAGTGGTAAGAAAATTCTTTATACCTAAAAGAAAAGCGCTTAATTCCACAAAGTTGTCCTGTGAATGACTTTGTAGCATTTGGCCAAAGTTCTTCCTCATAAGATACAACTCTCACTCAACAGCAAAGGACCATTACTACATGCTATAGGCATAGAGAAAAACTTCACATTCATTTGTCATTATTTTTAACAAATGTTGACTTTTCAAGACTGACTTATCTGTGTTAAAGCATTTACTCCTAATAGTCTTCCAGCTGAAGACTGTGATTTAAAATACATATTTAAATTAAAATTGGTTTTATTTATTTGCTTTAAAGATCCCAAACCTAATTTTGAAAATGTGTCTTACACAACAGGAAAGGGCTGCTAAACATTAGTGCCTAGAACGGCCGCTTGAAATTGTCTTCAGTTAGTTCGTATCTGGAGGTAGGGGAAATGCTACAGAGAAAGGGGTTCCAGTGGATCCCAGGAGCCGTGCAGGACCACGCTGCCGCCTTTGCATCCTTCCATGCACAGAAGGCAAGCAGGGGGGCAAAGCTGAAACAGGAGTTGGAGAGGCAGTTTTGTGTCATTCTTCTGTCCCACCTCAATCCTAAAAGGTGAAGGAGCATCCAAAAGAGACACCAGAGGGGATTTATCCCTATTTTCTAAAGATAGAAAATACACTCAAAATTGTTTTTTTCTTTTAAAAACTCACTGTTAGTGCAGTTTCGAAATTACA